TATGTCTTTGTTTTTGGTTTTTTTCATTGCTGATAAAAAAGTTTTTTTTTCGTTTTTTGCTATGGAAAGCAGAAAGCATCTCCCTTCATGTCAACAGTCGGCGTTTCTCGCATAAAGTTCTTCCTCAACTTCTATGGCTTTTTCCAAGTGAATTTGTCTGTTTTTTGTTGTGGTTTTTATTTGCTTCTTTTATGTACTATGTACTTTGCAACTTTAGCTGCTTTTTTGATGCTGTTTGTATTTAGTTCAGGAAGTTAATCATTAAATTGTTCTATGTTCTTTTCTTTCTGAAGAATTCTACTTCAATTTTTAATTTTTTTTTTTAATGTGCAGAGAAGATGCAATCATGTCCAATTTGATTAGGGCCACTTTACGTGTTTCAGATTTAGCTACTCGCATTTGCGTTTAATTTTAGCTTTAATTAGAATTGATTGTTCAAAGGCGCTGAGGAAGTTTTCTTTTTTTAATTGCATTTTATATGTGTGTGTACATATGTATCGTTTGGTTCATTTTCTGATTGGTACATTTATGATATATGGGCCCAAGACAGAGTTATTCGAGAACAGTGCTCCAGCATTTATTGAGCGAATTTGAATTTGAAACGATAGCAAAATGAGAGGTATATTCATTCCGTATGTGTTGTTCAGTATGTTGGGGAATTTATTTTTGTTCGACTCAACTAAACTAGAAATAAGCCACTCTAAGTCATTTAAAATTCTGTATCTCGCGAAGGTACAGCTATTCAAATAAAAAAAGTTATACGAAAAGAGTATATGTATGTATAAAAATGCTCGCTCTGTATAGTATTGCCTTGCTACTCTTGCTAAAGAGCCTATAGAATAGACCCCAAGACTAATAACTTATCTTCTTCTTCACATTAAAAAATTTCAAATATATTTTCCAGGCATTTAATTCATAGGTGTGTATTTATGTAAAAGCCTAGGCTTACACACAATCATACACACAAAACTGGGGGAATGCTGCTTTTGTCTAAATTGCAAAAAATGCAATTAGGGAATTCACAAGGCGTATTAAGCATCATAATATCTTGAGTCTAAAAATGTGTCTTTGTTAAATTACGATTAAAACGATTTTAAAGGATTTATAATTACACTGAAATAATTTTTAATTGATAAAAAATGTACAATTAGCTTTTATCAGACGCAGCGAATCCCCTAAAACAATTTTATTCGTTTATTTTCGTAGAAAAATTTTATGACTTACAACGCTTAACACGCCCTGTGAATCCCCTAAATATTTTTCAAGCAAAGTGTTTTTGATATTTTTTTATAAAAATATTATTCATGCTTTAACAAAAAATCATATGAATAAGCTGTTGCTGGAAATGGGCTTTTATAGCCTGTTTTATTTTCATATAACTAGTAAAATTTATAAAAACTGGCGTGGATTTTTAAAATAATTTTTGTACACGCTTAAAACTTGCACTTATTTTAATAAAATTTCCTAAGCTGTTAACTGCACAACCGAATATTCAGGTGAAAAAGTTAAAAGTTTTGATAGAAATCAGCTTGTGAAGCATTGTAAATACTAACAAGTAAGAAAGCCCGGCGCAAGTATTAAATATATGTTTTTTCACCCTTCCGAAACCTTCCGCTAGATGGTAAGCCGAGGTGTATAAATTTTGAGTAAATTAGCGTCCTTCAATTTCGAAATATTGAAGTTTCAAGCATTTCTTAAATTTACCGTTATATGAGAATCGGCCGTTATTTTAGTCCGATTTCAATAATTTTCAACGTTTTGCTTACACGTGGCAAGTACAATAACCATACCGAGTTTGGTACAAATTGGTAGAACGGTTAC